CGAGAGAAAGATGGAAACATACGGCAATGCCAAAGCTGAAGGAGGCAGAGACAATGATGAAAGTGGTGAAGACAAGAAGTGGAGTTACTGTAGTTTCAGAGTCTCTGTCTTCCTTATTTTTCAATAATAATCCTTTCTCTATACTATTCTCTCCCTCCATTATTTTAGGTCTCAAATTAAACCCTAGAATTGAAGAGAGCTCAAGAACAAGAACAAGAACAAGAGAGAGATATAGATGCTTTGAGAACTTTGATTTCTCTTTATATATATGCTTTTATTTCATTCTTTATTCTCTACACATTAATAGTATATTGACTAATATTGAACAGGAGGCAGGGTGGTTAACAAAATGTTACGCTGTTTGTATATCTAACGCACTTTTTGGTAGTTTTGATTTGTGTTCGCATTATCATGTTTAAAATGATCAGTTTCGTATGATTTTAAAATGATTAAAGAATAATAATGATACCTTGTTTTTCTGAATATGAATCTACGTAAACAACGTTTTATGTATACTAATTGAGACTTTATTTGCTTAACTTGTAATTTTCTACCTCGTGGAAGTTTTTATGGACCTCGTTGAACTAGAACCTTCACCTTAATATTTTAGAATTATGTCAGGCATAGTGGATTATGTAAAGAAAAGTAAACTAATTTTAAATTATATGTACAACTGCAATATTTCATCCGATACTTATTGGATTTTATATTTGTGGTATATAGTTTAATGTATCCTTACTTAACGACAGACGACCGGTTTAGTTTTTCATTGGTAAGCGCGTGAGGCTCACTTTCTAGTATATTATCCATTTATTTTTAAAAATTTTAATTGTATTTTTTTAAACATACTTCCTCTATTCATCTTTCCCAAAATGGAGCATCATTAAGAATTACAAATCAGATTGGAATAAGAAGATGAATCTAACAGAGAACTATACCAATTAACAGAAAAAGATTCTCAATAAGTATACAATTTCGTGATATACAACTAGTCAAATCCATATTTTAAAACTTCATCACATTCGTCACCATATTCAAAATGCGAAGTACCACACAATAACAACATTAACTGTCTAATTTTTTTTTTTAATGTCCTTATTTCTAATATATGGTATGGTATGCTCCAAAACAAAAAGGAATCTGTCCTTGTTAATGGAATTCATATTTCTTGGTCAGCGAGAGGTCACGTATGTTTGTGACGGAATTCTAACAAATTAAAAACTTCAGTCACTAGATAATTATCGTTTACTAGATGATATATATGGAGTAATTAACCAATTGTTATAATCTGTTTGCCTCTTTTTTTGCTTTACCTATATCCAGTTAAAATGTTAGAAGATAAACATTCCACCAGTAATTGAGCAATACCAATGTTCTCAAAAGGAAAAT